GATGCCGCTGCCGGGCAGCGCGGCTCTCCGCCCGCTTCACCAAAACCTGCGGCGCGGTCACGGCATCGGGCAGGATCCCGAGGTCGTGGGGAGCATCGCTGAGGCTGAGCGCAGGTGTGTGCGGCTGGGGAGCCCTTTCAGGTGCTAGAGCTGGTCCCCAGAGGGCTGCCTGGTGATTTTTATTTATTATTTTTTTTCCCCTTTCTGCAATTCGTGCAATTTGGCTTAATTATTAAAAAAAAAAAAATAATAGAATTCTTGCTCAGTGGCGGGTTACAAATGAAGAGGGTACTGCTTATTTAAAACTCTTTATATGCATCTTTTAAGGGACGTTTTCCTCTTGATTTTGAAGTACTTTGGCTTGTTTAAAATGGATTTATTTAGCCTTTTGGGCTCTGCTCAGAGGCTGTTATCGGCCCACACGCAGCTGCCTGGGTTGTGCTTCCTCACGTGTGCTGCCTGCTCACTTTTATTGTGTGCGATTCGGCATAGGCAACATATGGTGCACTATTAATTTTTCTTTGTCTCTACTTGGTTTCATTTCCTGGTTCCCACGGCACTATTGAATTGCAAACGGAGCACAGGGGAGATTTAACACAAACAAGACTTTTTTTTGTTTTCTCTTCCCTTGCCCTTCCTTAAAAGACAACTCCTGGTTTAGTTCGTTTTCTTAAAAAAAAAAAAAAAATCCTGCGTTTTTAGCATAAGCAGTATTTGCCAGAAACTTCTTTAAACATAATAAATAATAGAAGTCCCAGAACCCACAGAACCACAATATTATTTTATTTCAACGGGACTGTGTTTAACTCTATTAGTTTCTTCTGTTTCTTGATTTTGACCATAAGGAATCGATTACATCTTACATGTACAGCATCGCACCCTGCTAAAACTGTATCCTCGATTCTGTTGTTCCCTGGTAGCAGTTGTTCGGATATTTTATTTTTTAGCTGTCATAATCTAGTTGCGTGTATGAAATTATTAGAATTTGTGGCGCAGGATTTGTGGCTGTTGGATGATTGATTGTCCTGTCTGTGAGTAAGGGGTATTCTGCTCAGATGTGCTATAAAACCTCTGTTTTGGAGGGTATTAAAATCACATGCTGGGTAGGAAATTTCTACAATTGAAGGATAGACTTACCACAGACCGTAATTAAACATTTACAGTCCCAGATATTAACAAACGCTTTGTGTATTAACATGCTGGCTGGGGAACTCACCAGCGAGCGAGGGCTGGGAGTTACAAGTGTTTCCCATTTATCTGTGTGTGCCATACGTCTCCATAAAAATCTCACTGTGCACTTTATCCCCAGACTGTAATTTGTTAAATAGGTGGTTGTTGAAGTCAGTGTTGTTTCGGGAGGAATCAGTAGTGCTGCAGGAGGCATTAAAAGCTGCAGGGGCACTTAGCGAGAGGGGAGAACCACCATACGTGGTACGAAGGGGGCTGCCAGAGCTATTTCATGCCGTAAGAAACGTATGAATCTGGCTGTATATCCGCAGCATGCTGACATAACCCCTGTTTATGGTAGCAGATGACATTGCTGTACCATATACACGCTTTACTGCCTACTTGTGTACCAGCTAATACTTAACAGCTCCTTCCAGGGAATCTGCCTTACGTCTGGCTTGCAGCAGGCTCCTCTGCTGTAGCCCACGGCGTGTTTAACGGCAGCTCGAGCTGTAAATGCCTTTGGGAACCCCCCCAAGGAGAGCAGAAAAGGTGAAATATCCTCAGTGGGTTGTGGCTTATTCCGCTGATCTTGTAGGTGTTACTAAGCAACTTCAGTAAGGTCTTTCCCCATAGCATCAACTTTACTTTCCGCTTCACTGCAAACCAAAACGAAGCTTAGAGGTGAGATGGGAGAGCTGCATCCTGTGAGGACATTAATGGATCTAAGACGGAGAAACTTTTATTGAGTCAGGTGCTGGAACAGGAGTTTGAAGCTCAGCGATTGCTCCTGGGCAGACGGGCTGTCCCAGCTGCTGGCTTGGCAGTGCTGCAGCCTGCCCAGCCTCTCCCTGGTGCCCAGGTGTTCCCGTACCTCTCGGTACCCATGTCCTGGAGCAGGCTTACGGCCAGGATCTGGTGTGTACCATGCACGTTCATGGCTTAGGGGTCAGCAAGAACTGACCACAGGCAGCAGGGATGGGTGGGAGTTGGCAAAAGCCTCGGTAAGTAGCTGAAGGGAAGCATGAGATAAAAATCTGGGGGAAATATGCCATTGGTGTGACCTTTCTGATAGGAAAATTGCGGTGAGAGGTGTCTCCAGAGAGAGTTTAGTCCCGAGGTCGTCTGGGGAGCCGATGTCCCCAAGCCCTGTCTGCTGCTATGTGTTGTCATGCTGCTACGGTGCGTTGACTGACTTTTGTCTCACTTGTCCCCCCACAGGGGCAGTCAGGACGCGATGGTTACCCGGTAACTCTGCTATTCCTTTTATTTTTATTCTCTTCTAATCTGCGCTCCATAGTCCTTTTCCATGACACTTGATTTTCTTTACCTGTCTTGGTCTCTTTTTTTTTTCCCCTTCTTCCCTCCATCTTCATCAGTGATAGCTTTTGAGGGTTTTAGCCCTAAAACTCAGAAGCCTGCGCAGTATTCTCCATTAATGTTCATAGGGGTGAAATAATTGAGTCTCTTCATGTTATTATTCACACTCTGGCCTGAAAGCACTCACTGGACTGCAAAGGTAGCGAAGGCTTTGAGGTTTGTCCCACTCACAGCTGTAGGTGGCCAGATTTGGGGACATCGGTGAAAGAGCTTCAGGTGTTGAGATAGGTCCTGATTTACCCATCTCCAAAAATTTTTCCCTGGGAGCAGAGGTGTCCTGCCAAGGCTGTCAGCAAGGAGAGTTTTTGCAGAGGCTCAGAGGAAGGGTAATTCGAGACGTTCTGCCCTTCCCTTCCCCTGCCCATGGGCACCACTGAAATGCATCTATGTTAGAGGAGGGTGTCTTCTGGGGAATAAATAAAGCTGGTAATTTGGGGCTGTTAAAGGCTCTGAGCTGCTTTCTGCAGGAGGAGGGAGACCTTGTTCTGGCCAGATCCCAAAGTGCAGCCTGCCGGCTGCTCCCTCCGTCTGTGTTAGCGCACTTGGATGGCCACGGTGCTCTGGCTCAGAGGGACTCGATGGCTCGCCAGGGAGCAACCCCCACGCATAGACTCAGTGTAATGGGTTGGTAAAACTCACTGTGTAGATCCTCCATGTTCACAGCACGTTTCCAGCTCAGCTCCTGCTTTTGAACGGCGCAGTGAGTTCTGCACCACTTGATGCTCTGGAAGGGGCTTCTTGGCTATTTGCCCTGCCGTCCCATTTGTAAGGTCAAGAACTGTAGTTAGCCTTCTCCTTCCTGTGGTTGATGACCTTTCTTTTATTTTTTTTTTTTAATTCCCCCCCAAAGGAGCGTGTTAGGAAAACTCTCTCCTTGTCTCTGCCAGCTCGTGCCCTGGCCCAGTTCCCCCAAATGCCCATAAACCATGGAAGCATCTACAGAGTTTACTGTGTGCGATAGATTGAGAGCTCAAGGGAGGAGGATTGGAAGGGACATACAGAGTTGTTTTCAGTTTTCATTTCCCCTGGACGGCTGTGAGCATCCCTGCGGAGCACAGCAGCGTTCCCCCAGCAGCACCGGCCGCAGATGGGGGAGGGAGCTGTCAGATGGGGTTAATTTAGCA